CCCCCAAACCCTGTGAACCCCAACCACCCCCCGCACGCCCCCATCACGCACCTCGCTCTCCGCCAGCCAGTCTGCGCACTCCAGATCCAGCGGCTGCGGCGGGATCGTGGCGTCCACCAGCAGCAGCACGGCGACCAGGGCGTCGCGCTGCAGAAAGTAGTCCTTCGTGAAGCCCAGCCACGACCCGGCAGCGCCCTTCGAGGCCTTGGGGTGAGATGCAAAATGATGAGGGTTGAGATGGAGACGCGACGGGGTGAACAGGGCAAATAATTCCCTGAAGATGGGAGGTGGGTTGGCGGCAAGACAAGCTGCAACACTGCGGCGTACGCATTCCCAGATAATGCGTACCGTCGACGGCTGGCATTCACGCACACATCAGCAGTACATACTTTGGCAAAGCCGTAGCCAGGGAGGTCCACCAGGTACCAGCTGCCGTTGATCAGGAAGTGATTAATCGTCTTGGTCATGCCTGTTGGTGGACATGACGGGCAGCCGGTGGGAGGACGGGGTGGGGCTCAGTTGTTGTCAGGGTGGCCATGCAGCATTGTGGAGGACAGCACACCACAGGTGAGACCACCAATCATTATCAAACCTCCGCGCTAGACCTGCAGCTGCATCTATCAATGCACACGGGTGCAAAACTGCATCAGTAGCACCACAGGCAACACTCGTGCGGCCCAGCAGGCCTCGCACCAGGCTCCTTGGAAACGCGTGCCAGCTGGGCGCTGCCGGTCAACATGTTGACGAGCGACGACTTGCCGACGTTTGACCGCCCTATCACCGCAAATTCAGGGTGGCGGCCGTCCGGCGGGCAGCCACGCAGGTCAACTGAGCTGCCGACATACACAGCTTTCTTGACTCGCGAGAAGTCGCCGGGCGGCAACCGCGGTAGCGAAGGGCTGTCCGACGAGGCTCGCTTGCTGCTGCCGCTGCTGGGCGCCTTGCTTGGCGGACGGCCACCACCTGCCGAAGGCGCCGATGTTGATGGTGACGCTGCATGGCACACCGTGGCCTCCCGTGTGTGAATGCATTGGCCGCCGCTGACGCAGACGTTGAACAAGCTGCCGTTGCCGCAAGCGGTAGCGCTCCAAGCACCACTGGGCCGACTGAGCGGTCTCAATAATGGCAGCCGCTGATGACCATAAATGCTTGATGTGCTGGTCGAGGCTCCAAGCGAGCCAAGTCTGCGCTGCTGAAGCTGACAAGAAGTCATGTCTGATCTAGCGTGCCTCATGCATATATATTGGCATGATATTTTTGGAAGTTCCTACGATTTGTGTCGCAAGGTACACGCGCGAAGTTCTTTGTGCTGCTGCAGCCAGTTGCAGTGCGGTTGATTGAGCTTCCAGAACAAAATACCTTGTCGTTGTGCACAAGTACTTGGGAGCGGGAGGCCAGTGATCCGTGCTGCTGCGCAGCGATGGCCACGGCAGCGGCAGCAGCTGGCGACACGGCGCAGCCCAAGCGCTCTGTTTTCGCTTTGGCGCTTGAAAAAGCCCCGGCTGCCAGGGACACAGAAGACACCATTTTGACAGACGGCTTCTTGAATCTCTGTGACCTCATCATCCCCGTGATTGGTGGGCAGCGCAGCCGTGGCCAGCGGTCAGGCCTGCCTTGACACCCTCCCGCAACTTTGGCAGGGCTGAACCGAGGATGGCACAAGCCTGCCTGCATGCATGCAGCATGTCCGTCGTCTTCCGCGCGATGTCAAATGCAAGTTTCACCGTGTGCATTGTGCCTCTGCCGCAGAGTCCTTCGGCAGCGCTTTTGCCATCGTCCGGGGCGACATATCTGGCAACATTGAGGTGAGGTCCCTTGGTGTACTAGTCATGAGGGATCAGGTATTGGGGCAGTGGGGTGTGGCATGAGGTAGAGAGAGTGTCACACTGGCACGCATAGTTGATTTACGGTCCCGGCCAGCTTTACAAGGGGCGGCTGATGGGGTGCGGAGTTGTTGCAACAGAGCTGGTTTGCAGCGAGCTGTCTGGCAGCTCCGTCTGTGCACACCGTGCACCGAGCAGCAGCTGCCCATGAAAGCGCTTGTGCACGTGCATGCCTGTGTGCGCATCCAGACAAGCGGCCACCAGCGCCTGCCCTATTCCCAGCTCTAAAACACCCCGCCAGCGATCTGTTGTGACAGGCGGCAGCTCAACTTCCATGCCCCACCCCATTGTCAACGTCTCACCCTGCGATTCGTCTTCATTCAACGCCTCTACCAAACCCATGTTTTGCCCATGCACAGCGCCTGCGGACGCGGTATGCCACCGACCCCTCCAAGTTTTCCAAGCTCTTCTCCATAGTGGACGACGAGGTGGCGCGGGGCGATCAGAGCCACAGCTCATCATGCACCAAGGGGCTGCTGTGGCTCAAACGGTGGGCCACTGGGGCCCTTGGCAAGGCGGACCTGAGTTGCTTCGCGGAATCCTTGGCGTTTCAAGGGGATGCAACTCTGTACTCGTCGGCTGGCAGCCCGCACCTTGAGCAGGGCGATGCCCAGGGTCACCCAGAAGTCAACTCGTGCACACCTCCATGCTCGCAACCCTCCTCCTCCTCCCTATCCCCGGCCCTAACCTCTGCAATTACTACCTCTCATCACCACCCAGCATCACTGATTTGCATGATTAATCCCATTCCCACTTGATCTCCTTTGCCACGCACCCCTCACAGGGCGATGGAGTTCATGGTCCAGATCCTGCGGCGGCTGGGTGACTCACCGGAGTCCACCCTCAGCGAGGCCGTCAACGAGACCTACTACGCAACACTCTACAAATTCCACGGCTTCTTCGCATCATCAGCATTCAGGGTGGGCGCGTGGTGTGCCCTGTGGTGTGCAGCTGTGGCATGGAACACTGGCTGGATGTGCACCTCCCCTTGCGAAGGCCCTGCTGGCACAGGCTTCAGACGTCGCAGGGCCCTGCGGTATTGGAGCCCCTCTGGTTTTGTCGTTGGATGGTCCTTGGCATGCTGGCGGCAATCCGATTTCTTCTGCACAACCCCTTTGGGCCGTGCTGCTGCAGAAGAACCCATCATGGATTGCCATTCAATCCCGGCTTTTGACGCCTCCTTTGACTCTCAACCCTCGCGCACGCAACCCCCCCTGCAGGTCGCGTTTGCGTTCGTGCCCAACCGGGGGCCGTTCCTGGAGCGCGTGGCGGGCGGCAGCTTTGACGAGCAGACTGCAGCCGAGATGGCGCAGTTTGTTGAGGTCTTCACGGGGCTGCTGGCTGAGGTGCACACCTTCCTGGTAGGTGGGGCGTGCGTGAGTGTGCACGCGCGGGCTAGGGGGGCCTGTGTTGAGATGTCCCAAATGAGGCTGAGCTGCTGTGCTGCGCAAATTGCAGTGGTTGGATGGCCTTTTGACCAGTGGACGTACGCTATATGACAGAGGTTTGTCTGCCAGGGTTCCCCTGTCGCACCAGTATGTCCTGGCTCACCTATGGCCGCCTCAACCTGACGCTGTGGCGTGCCATGCAGGACAAGCGGGGCCTGGACGATCCCTGCAAGGTCTGAGGGCTGTGGTGGCTTCTAATGCTAGGCTTTACAGCTTGCACGGGCAGTGGCACCATTGTTCTTGTGCTCGCAATTATGTGCGCGATAACTGGGGTTTTTTTTTACATGTTTGAACCTTCTTTTGGGTTGCAAATCCTCATGGCTCCGATCTGGATTCTGGCGCTCGTGACCCCCAACACACATGCCTTGACTGAGATGACGGGGGCCTCTTGAGTTGCTTAGGACCAAGGCCTCCCCAACAATGGAAATAATAGAAAAGTGCAGTTTCCTTTGTTTTTGGAATCGCAACAGCATCACGGCAGTAACCATCTCAACGCCCAGCATACTAGCCTTCTTGGTTGCAGCCACTTCTGAAGCAGCTATGATTACCTGCGGATACCACATGCCGATTAATAACATCATCATTACTACTGCAACAAGCTTGCAAAATTTCAGCTATATCGTGTTGTACGGGTGCGTTGTGTCAAAACCCCACCTGAGAGGTTGAGCGCATTTCAGGCTGGTGATGCTTGACCCGTGGCTGCATGTGAGGCAACCGTAGCCACTTGTGGTTCCCTTGTGCCAGAGTGCCACTTACACACAGCAGCCCATGATGAGCAGCAGCCGCAGCGAATGGTCCCTTGCAGGCATAATCAGGCTGAAGCAAGACACATACGTGTTGCCAGCACAGCAAGCGGGGCACCGTTCGGGCCGGCCGTGCAGGTTGTCTGATTACAGCAGCAGGCCCTTTGAAGCGCGAATGATCGCCCCTGCAGGCGGCCAACTGTATATTTTCAGCAATTGGTGCCGCCAGCGATGCATCAACAAAGCATTACGCTGTTGCGTTTTGTATGCTGGCCCGTCTGCTGTTTGTGCGGGTGTTGCGTCGTCACGGGCTGTGCTGACGGGTTATGTACTGCGAAGCTTCATGACCAAGATGGTACGATTGTGCAATCGGCCGCCTTGGATTGGGCGCCGTGCAGCATACCGCAAACTGATTTGTTGAAACAGATCTTCAAGATGATGGCTAGAGCCGCTGATGCCCTAGCCTAGGCATTGTTTGTTTGGCATTCCTGCGCAATGTTGTAGGTACTGTATCAACCCTAAGAGGGGTCCAAACCGCAGCTAAATGTCACAGTGCTACGGTGCAACCCCGTGATTGGTGCTGGTGATCACAGGGCAAGCACTGCGGGCCTGGAACTCCTTGCGACAGCAGCCACCAGACATGTCCAGTGATTTCGTGCAATGTGAGTTGTTTTACTATCAGCACACACGTAACTTCCTTTGCGTGGTCGCCGTGTGCCGCTCTTTTTCAAAAAGGTCAACGCAGTTATGGAGCCAAACAAGAGCGCTCTGCACCAGTACTGACACACCTGCATCATGCAAACCGCAAGATGTAGCTGCAGGACCTGGCTAGTTACTCCTGGCTCCCCTAGTGCATTGCGACAAACAAGCATTCAACCGATAGACCACGGAGAACAGGTGCAGATACCACGCAGGGATACATCGTCCATAAGACGAAATAATGCGGAGGATAAGACACCAGCGATGGCGCCGATTTGCAGCCGTGGAGCCAAAGGGCCACCACTTGCCGCCAACGCCCTTGTCCAGCAACACTTCCGCGTTAGCCAGCCGCTACAAACAGCCCCAGGCCAGCCGCTGAGCGAGCGCGCCTGTTGCAAGGCCCTTCGCATGCGTGCTGCACCCACAATCTGTTGGTCCGGGCGAGCGCCGCCGCCAGGCCCCCGGCTCACGGGGACGTCAGCAGCGCCACCGCAGCCTCGCCGCCGCCGCGCTACCGGGGGTTGATGCCGAGCAGCATGTTGCCGCCGCTGGGCAGGTACACCACGTTCTGGCTGCGGCTCATGGTGTCGGCGATGTCCTTGGCCGCCTCGATGCGGCGCAGCTCAATCAGGCCCGGGCCGGCCACCTGCGGGCGCGGGTGGGAACAAGCTGGCCTGAGATAACAGCCGCGGACGATCGGAAGGGCGCCAGCCCTGCCTACCACAGCGTTCCAAGCACGGCCCTTGACCCCCGCTCCGGTGTCACTCCATGATAGGGCATTGCACCCGCCGCTCGAGCCCTCGAGCAAGATCACACGACCCCTGCGCGCCTTTGTGGCCTCGCTGATGAGCTTGGCAGACTCGCTCTCTCCCTCTGCCCTGATGATGGCGGCATTGCGCTCCTGCTCCGCCTTGAGCACCACGAAGCGCGCGCGCTCCGCATCCTGCTCCGCCACCTGGGGGCGGATCACGCGGGAGGGGGAGGGACGCGTACAGGGCAGGTGTAGGTGGCACGGGACGGGGCCTGAGGACAAAGCACGTTGGCCAGGAACGCCCGTCGAACAGGCGCCTGCCAACGGCGCCCCAGGCCGCGGCGCCCCTGCCAAATGCTTGCACTGCAGGCCGCTGCACCTCCCATTTGTCCCGCACGGCCCCAAGAAAACCTCTTGGGTGCAGCTCCCCCACTTCCCCACGCCGATCCCTGGCGCGGCGACCCCAAATAAGGTTGATTGAGACAAGGTCGCCCCTGATTTCGCCCGCCCACCTGCTTCATCTCCACAGCCTTGGTGAACTCGGTCCCGAACGACAGGTGGGTGATGGCCACGTCCTCCAGGGTGATGCCAAAGTCGGCCGCCCGCAGGGTCAGCGCGTCACGCACGGCGCGCGACACCTGCAATCCAAGCGGCGCACAATGTTGCCGATAGGAGAGGGGCTCCGCTGTTTGATTCGCTCTTGATGCTCGCGACGGGTGGAGCACACAGGGGCAGGCACTCCGTGGCGGGCCTTTCACATGCTCCTGCGCACGTGGCCGGGCCAGCATGTGCACTGACGAAAGTGTAACAGCCCATTCCTCAGTAAGATAGCGCAGGACGCATTCACCTTTTCACGCTGTGTGAGCAGCTGCTCGGCGTTGTACTGCGCCACGACGCTCTTCACCACCTCGTTGCCGATGGAGGGCAGCACACGCTCGTCCCAGTCCATGCCCAGGCCCTGTGTCGCAACGTTGCGGTGTGTTTTCGAGAGTGCATGTGTGTGTGATGGTGTTTGTGTGTGTGGGGGAATGTGTGTGCGCGCGAGGGCGAACTTGACGGCAGGGGGCCAGGTGATAGCGAACAACGTCAAATGGAGGCTGTGTGATGGCCATCGCAAGGTGTACGTAGCTGTGCTGCAGGCGCACTGTGTGTTGCAGGCTGCCATGCGCGCCCAGCCCCTTGACAGCCGACGTCCAGAGCTCGCGCCCGGTCGCACGTCAGCCCGCCACCCCCTCACGCCCACCTTAAAGATGGTGGGCAGCTTGTTCTCCGCCGGCTTGGACAGCAGCCGCAGGCTCATGTTGACCATCTGCAGGTCCTTGGTGCCCGTCACCGAGCTGATCGTGCGCGGCCGCGTGCGGATGTCCATGATGTGTGGGGTCTGCACCCACGGCACGCGCAAGTGCGTGCCCTCGCCGACCACGTCCTCCAGCACGCCGCGGAAGCGATCGAATATGACCGCACGCTCCCCACCGTCGACTGAAGAGCAGGAGCGGGGCCGAGGGCGATGGGGCGTCGCGAGGGGAAGCGGCGCACCGGCAGCGGCTGCCAGTCGTCGCTGCGTCAAGGTAGTGCCCCAAGCGCACACTGTGCAGGGCGATCAGGCCGTGCCAACCCAGTATTTAGGCCCTCACCTGTGAAAAGCGACGTCTGCAGCGCGCTGACGCCCACTCCTGCGGCCACCGCGTACCTGATCACTTTGTTCAGGACGCCGATAACAGCCGCGGCACCCTCGCTAGCCGCCATGATTATTAATTGTAACGGTCTGCTGGATCCCTGAACCTGCTAGCCCCGAGTGGTCGTGATTGTGCGGGACCACCACGCGTGTACGATAGATCACACAGGCGCGTGGCAGCGTTGTCTGGACGTTTGCTATGGTCGCAATAGGTTGCGCGGATGATTGTGGGAGCTTTAGAACCTGCTTTCAGGTCCGAGCCTGTTGGTGGCGACGCCGCGTCCGTCTGCTTTCTTTCTGACGCGCGACACGTCAAGTGCAGGGCTCATTTGTGCACATACTGCTGCAAATTGCGTTCTTCTCGCATCATATTCTTGCTACCAGCCCCAACCCCCTCGAGCAACAACGGTGTTTCGTCGAAGGAGCCCTCGCGTCGTGACCTAGCAACGTGCTGGTGCGAAGGTGTTGCATGGCGCACATGTGTCGCTTGTTTTGCGGCGTGGAAGGCTGCTGAGCCGGTTTTGCAGGGCGGCGTCTTGCGGCGGCATGGCGCTTCCGACTTTGGCCCGCATGCAGTTGCACCTGCCAGCGGCGGCTAGCGTAGCAGGCCAAGCGCCCCGCAGCACGCGTAGAGAGTGGCTACAGCCACGACTGTATTGTACCCATGGCTTTTATGCATCACAGGTGGGCACCAGGTGGTGCTCGCTGCCCTCACTGCTTGTCACCTCCCTCTGCCCGTGCACGTCCACGCCCGCAGCCCTCGCTCAAGCCAGCCATCATGCAGGAAGGGGGCAAGGCTGCAACGGCCCTGGCGGCGACCTTTGCTCTCGGCGTGGTGACGGGCTGGCTGCTCAACACCTACACTCGCAAGGGTCTGGAGTCCCTTCTGCAAAAGCTGCAGACCAGGGTCAAGAGCATGTGACTTGGCGGCCGGGCGGGCCACGGAGGTGTAGGCCGTTACAGGCTTTCGCTTGCAGCGGCGGCCTTGCATCTGAGTGTCTTCAGCTTTGCTTGTGGCTGGGGTATAAGAGTCCTACACTAAATGCCAGCTTCCCTTGACCACGCGCTCTTGCCAGCATTGTGGCACCACCCAGCCGGTGCGGCGCAACGGGGGCGGCCGTCTGACCGCGCACGCATGCCGCGCCGTGCAGTGCAGCAGCAGTGCTGTGTACCATATCCGCGGCAGCCAAGGCGCGGCCAGAACGGCCAAACAAAAATTTCGGGATCATATCATGGGATCCATCTTTTATCTTGGTATGTGCAGTCGCAGCCGGCCACTGCGACTCATGTCGAACAGACATATGCAATGTTACCCAATCGAGTAACCTGACACCAGCGAATGTGATTAGCCTGCTGGACTATGAGGCAGCCCGCATTCATTTACAGCATGTGCAAGGTGTCATCTACTAAATGGGACATAGCCAAGTGCGCACCCCTTGAGACTGCACGCAGCTCTCGCTGCGCCCCGCCTCACCCCGGCCGCACGGGCGCGCCGGGGCCTTGCGCGCGGCCTCGTCACGCCGCAGCGGGCGGTGCGCCGCCGGGCGCGCCGCCCCTGGCCATCAGCGCGATCCCACCGATTGCCGCAAACAGCGCCACCCAGCCGGCGGCGTCCCACCAGAAGTCGCTGATCCCCAGGGGGTCCTTGGCGCCGCTGCCGCCGGCGCCGCTGCCGCGCTTGCCGCCACGGCCTCCGGCGGCGCCCGCCTGGGCCTGCGCCTGCGCGGAGGAGGGGTGTATGCTTGAGAGGTGGAAGGTTGGTACGGAGGACATGGGGGCCCAGCGGGGTGAATGGGAAGCGACGACTGGCCGCTCACCAAGTGCCAGGGCCCCGCCTTTCCCACCCATCACAAGGCCAACAACCGCAACGTCGGTACTTCGGGAAAAGCACTCGCACCTCCCCACACATGAAGGTTTTGATGACATACTCAAGCGGGCTCAAACACCCCCGCCGCGGCCTGTCAAGTTGTGTTGCCAAGCAACAACCAGTCCCCACAAAATCCCATGCGTATGTACCTGACGCCTCCCACCCTCCTCAATCACCGAAATCATCAACCCCCCACCTGCTGGATCTGCGACTGGATCTCATCGTAGTATTCCGGCGCCTTCTCACACATCTCAAGCGCCTTGCGGTACGACTCGTTGTTGGGCTCCTGCAGTACGATGTGCCGTAGCAAGCCGCACCGAGTCACGACGCGTCACGGCCCCACAGCACCCAACAGCTGTCAACCAGGCAAAAGCACATGGCAGCGGGCAAGGAGCAAGATGTCCAGGAGTTCCCAATCGGCCTAGCGATGCGTCCACCGAGCGCTTTCTCGACAGGCAGACAAAACAGGGGCGTGCGTGCGCTTGTGTCGGGCCTGCACTGCCCCTGCGCCGCAGCTGCGCCGGCACCGCGCCGCGCCCGCACCTTGTCCTTGCAGGCCTGGAAGACCTGCTTAGCCAGGTTGAACTGCTCCAGGGCCGCGGCCTTGGTCTGCTGCAGGAAGCCCTGGGGAGCAATGAGCGCCGGCCGTAGCGCCGCAGTTGAAGCAGGATGCGGAGTGGCGCAAGGCAATGAATGTGGGAGCGCGTGGCGCCTGCACCCGACCGCCCTTCGGCGGCATCAAGGCCGGTGGTCTGCGGGCGGGCCGGGCCAGGCCGCACCAGAGAGGTGTGGGCGTTGCCGATGCACCACTGGGCCTCGGTGCGGCTGGGGTCCAGCTTGAGGGCCTCGTTAAGCCGCTCTACAGCCTGCGGTGATGGGCGCGGACGGGAGCAGATGCAGCAGATAAGCGGCGTGCCGTAGGGCGCACCTGGCTGCTGCCAGCGCCCCTTGGGTGGGAAGCGCCAGCGTCGTTGAAGCGCAGAGCTTGAGGGCTTGCCGCGGTCTCATCACTCTCAAACACAAGGCACCTTCCACAACACAATGTGCCCCATATCGACCCAGGCAGCACGAGGGCTGCGCCCCACGGTCCCTCACATCGTGGATGTACTGCACAGCATCTTCGCCCTGCCGGTAGTGCGCCAGCTCGAGCAGGGCGCCGCCCCATCGCACCAAGGCCTGGGGCCGGGCGGGGGATGGGCGGGGCGAGGGTGGGCATGCGATGGAGGGGGATGAGGTCCGGAGGTGCGGGGTTGCGTGTGTGCGCGTGTGCAGGTTTGTGTGAGTATGTGGGTCGCACACACGCACGTATGTGGTTTGTGCAAGTGAACGTGTGCGCGTGCATGTCTGTGTTTGTGTGTGTGTGTGTGTGTGTGTGTGTGTGTGTGTGTGTGTGTGTGTGTGTGTGTGTGTGTGTGCGCGTGCGTGTGGGCGTATACGAAGGGTTTAATATATTCATGATATATTAATACACGCGTGGCCCTGTCGTCATGATCGCCGTGGCGGCGCCGCGCATTCCTTTCACTCAGTCGAACCCACCTCAATGCCTGCACGGCCATGTGCTCGTGCGCCCTGCCGACGCCTCCTTGATGCAGTGGCGACCAAGGAGTTTGTCTACGCGGGAAAAGACGGCTTCGAGGCCCTCTCGGTGCGCCCCGGTCCCGTGCCCCCTCTCTTTGAGCACCGGCCAACAAAAACGGTGGTGGGGCGGCAACGGCCGACATAGCGTCAGAGCTCTGCTGGCGCATAAACGCGGTGCTTGCCAGTGTCGCCTGCCGCGCAAATGCTCCGGCTCATCTCTCCTACATTCTATCTCCCTCCGCGCAACTGGCCGTGCGGCTATTCGCCCTCACAGCCCCTCCCTCCCCGCCCATGCGCGCCTGCCGTTCACTCCCTGCAAGGGCCCTCACCCTACCACTGTGTTGCAGGCGCTCCCCAGCCCCCCCCTGCCCCCTCCGTCTTCACCTAATCCTTCTGCCCCCCCACCTACACCCCCCCCCCTACACACACACACACAAGAACAGTCGGCCCCCGTCCTGGTGGACGCTGAGCAGTGCATCGCCCTCAACACCGCCGCCCGCGACTACTTCTACGTGCTGGAGGTCATAAACAAGCTCAAGTACTCGACAGGTGGGGTTTTGCGGGCTGTGGGTGACAGCGTGGCTGGCCAGCGCAGACAGGGGAAAGGGGGTTTTAGACACGGCGCGCGTGGCGCGATTTCGCTGCTGGCCGGCGCAGGTGCCATCGGGTGCAGCCGGCTGTGGCCTTGGTTTCTTGCATAGTGTCTCCGTAGCCGCACCGTCCTTGTCACAGGCAGCGTTGCGATGTACAGAACACCATCTACGCAGCCTTTATTTGACCCAAGCGATCCTTGCGACAACATACGGCACCGCGCCGCTCCCGCCTCTGTGACCTGCGTCACGCGGCGCTGCAGGCGCTGCAGGCGCTGGCGCTGAGGAAGGTGCCGCCTCGGAGGACGAAGGGGCGGAGGCCGACGACTCAATTACGCTGCGGCGCCTGGGGTCGTTCGCGCGGCACTGGAAGCACAGAGCCACGGCGGGGGCGCACATCTCGGCGCCCGGCGGCCAGGCGGGTGAGGCCATGGGTTGGCGCGGTGGCGGGGCCGGTCGCCGGCCTTGTAATGGAGCCGCGGGGATTTGGGAGCGCCGGGCGGCCAATTCGTGCGCTGCGCCGGCCTCGGTTGAGCCGTGTGCCAGTATGTGGGCTGCAGAGTGCCGCCTGGCCTTTGCTGTGCTGCCACAGGGGTCCTTGCCAGGGCCAGGGCAATGCGCTGCTTGGTGCTGGCCACGCGGTACTGGGAGTGTTGGCATGCAGGGCAGTGCGCAAGGCTGATCTCTGACAGTCGCGCCATTGCAAGCACATGTACGGGTGCCTACCAAGTGACTGTGCACTACGACACATCGCAATCGCCCACTCCCCTCGCACGAACCCACCCCGCCCCAATCTACAGAGTCCTCAAAGTCGGGCGCCCGCCGCGACGCGCAGCGCGTTGGCACCTGCGTGCGCGATGCTCTGGGGCGCTACGTGATCGCCCCGGCGGTGGAGGGCCGCATCGTCTGCCTGCAGCCGCTGCCGGAGTAACCCCATCCGGTGCTCGCGGCGCTGCGATGCAGCGGGCGGCGGTGCTGATGCCCAGGCCCTTGATGGCGTTTTTGAAACCACATGCTGAGAATATCGTTGGGATGGTGCTGTTTCAACAAGATCTGTGGTGAAATTTTGCATCCTGCTCAGCACAGCTTACAGTACTTCCATGACCTGATGAGGGGCGAGCACGTACAGCAGGTGCTCTTGGGCACGTGCCACGGCCCCGACAATATCGTATGTGCAAGCTTCCCAGGGGAGTAAACATAAGGCTCCTAAAGACGAGAATAAACGTAAGCTTTCCCGCCGCCTGCCTGGTGACGCGGCTGCGGGCATCAAGCGACGGGCGAGAGGCATCACACCCTTGTGGCAGCTTCGGCATGTGCCCATCAGACATGCACGTGTGTGGCGGCCAATTTGCAGCTGTACGTGTATGGAGATTTTGCAAGTGATCACAACATAAAAGTCTGCCGAAGCAAGCAGTCTGATGATATCTGTGCACGATAGAGCATGCAAACATGCACAGGCAGCACGCTAAACCATTCAACCAGGCAGTGCGGCGGCGGGACATTGCGCGCAGAGAGGCGCGCTGCTTCCAGCAAAACATTTTTCTGGGTAGGCGCTGGGGCCACGGGTAAGTGGTGTTCTGCGTTCAAGGAAAACGGCAGCACCATACGGCGGTGCAGGCCTCATGACGGAGGCTACAGTGGTGAAACGCTGCCATGCGCTTGCAGGGGTTGCTTTAGATGGGACCTCACGTGGCCTGTTGCATCCGTCTGCAGCAGCGGCGCTGGTGGCAGGCAGGCATGCGGCCAAGTAGGCGTCCGCCGTCGCAGCCCCCGCCGCCCTGGCCGGTCAGGGGGTTGTACTGCGGGCGCTTGGGGTCGCGGTTGTTGCTGCTCAAGGGGGCGACGCACCTGGGCCAGGGTGGCGGAGGAAGTTGGGGGTTTGCGCCGGTGTGGGGGGTATATGTGTTTCAAATCACTGGGCAGCAGCTTCACGGCGGCAGATGTATTCCTGATGGTGCGCATGTGGTGGCCGTGCTTTGGGACCATGCACCGCACATGCAAGGGCAGCAGCAGCAGCAGCAGCAGCAGCAGCAGCAGCCACAGCAGCAGCAGCAGCAGCAGCAGCAGCAGCAGCAGCAGCAGCAGCAGCAGCAGCACCGATGACATGATTCCACCCAACCCCCGGACACCCGCCACCCAAGCTTCAAACGTCGAACAGCACCCAACACCACGCAACGTCCTGGCCCCTCCCAACCTGGCCAGGCGCTCGAGCTCGCGCGGCGCCGCCTGCTGCCGCCGCAGCGCCTCGGCCCGTGTAGCCCGCTGCGCCGCCACCTTGCTGCTTTCGAGGTGGGACGCCTGCAGGCGCTCCACTGCGGCGGCACGGCGCACCTCGTACACCAGCGTTGGAGCCAGCGGCTCTGCGAGGAACGGAGAGGCAGGGCGTGCACACAGGGCTGGGCCACAAATTTAGTTGTTCGCCACAAGTTTCCCTACCCGCAAAGTTTGCAGTCATTGCAATGGATGGATGGAGGGCGGGCGGCGTCGCGTCGAGTCGTGGGTGAGAGGCGCGCCCCGCCGACAGCTTGAGCCAGAACATGTGGTTTGCAGGCAATGATCACACCAAACGCGGGCATGATGGACCTTAATCGCTTATGTTTTGTATGACTGACTCTGCGGAGTCGCACCTTCGCTGTCGTCGTGGCGGGAGACAATGGGCAGGCTGGCTCGCGCTGCCATAGATCGCCGGACCCTGGGCCAGACGTACACGAATAGGAAAGCCATGAATAGCACACAGCTCCAGACAGCCCACGGTGGCAGCGCCATCGGCTCACGACAATGTCTGCGTATAATGATGTGTATACTATGTGAAGTCTCAGTGCTTGTGACAGGCTCCGATTGGCCTGTAAAGTAAGCTCAGAAAACTCACAATGTGAATGAAAATGGCTTTCAACCGGGCAGGGCTGCTGTTTGTCTGTCTCAGGGAAGCCTTAAACCCTGACAGGCTCAGGGTTTAGGGTTTAGACAGTCCCAGGGTTTAGGGTTTAGACAGGCCCAGGGTTTAGGGTTTAGGCAGGCCTACCAAGAGTTCTGTAGCAAGTGCAGCGCAGCTGCTAGGGCAGGTGTTTTTGTGCTGCAGGATGCTGTTGCCAGAAGGACACCGCTGCAAGCACCACAGTCACCCCGCCGCCTCGACTTGTGCTGCTTCGAAGCCAGCACCGCCCCTCCGGCAAATCGCCCACGCCTAGTCCTTTTTGCCCACAAAGGACGCCCGTGCTACAGCAACTTACATTCAAGTTCCACAGCTGCTAACGCGGCTGGGGGGTGCGCACTCTGCGGCCCTCCAGCTGCAGCTGCTGCCGCCCACATAGGCCGTCATATGCATCGAGCAGCCACTCCCGCAGCCCAGGCACCTCGCCGCCGCCGCCGTCCCCGAAGCCACCGCTGCCACCGCTGCCGCCGCCCACAGGGCTGCCGGCGCTGCTGCTGCCGCCGCCTCCCTCACCCAAAAGCTGCCTCACTCCCCGCAGGTCTTCCAACGTCGCCTTCGAGCTGTCAAACGAGCCCAGCAGCTGCCGCCAGCAGTCCAGGCGCTCCCGCCGCCAGCAGTCCAGACGCTCCCGCCGCCGCTCGTCGTCATGTGGGCGGCTGCCCTGCTCCTGCTCTCCCTGGTCACAAGCCTCTTCCGCCGCCACTCCCTCCTGCTGTCGTTCCTGCCGCTGCTGCTCTGGCGGCTGCGCGTCCTTTTGCGGCCGCTGCTGGTACGTCTGCTCCTCCTCCTGCTGCCGCTGCTCGTGCGCCTTCATCCACGCTGCCACCGCTCCAAGCGCCTCTCCAAACGGCGCCCTCCTGGCCACTGCCTGCACAAGCTCCAACGGCCAGCAGGCAAACCCAGGCAGCCGGCAGACCTGGCCCAGCGCCGCGGCAGCCTGCGCGTACAGGCTCGCCTCGCACGCGCGTGCGCACAGCCTGCAGGGTGGAATGTGGGGGCCGGCGAGGGCTTAAAGACAGGGCAAACGAGATGGCTACAGGAATGTCAGCCCCTCAATGCGCATGCGTTGCCATACACGGCGTCAACGAAGCCTGCGCAGCAGTTGTATGCGGGACGTGCATCAGGGCTCCTGGGCGGCGCCGCCCCCTGCGCCCCTCCCGGACGAGCCTCACACCGCAGCGGCCGCACCTGTGCGCGGCCGGCAGCATCCCGCAGAGCGCGCCTGGCACCAGCCGCGCCGCTGCCAGCCACGCCAGCAGCTGCCCCGCCAGGTCGCTCCGGACCTGGTACTGGTCTGCCAGGCCGTACAGCTGCGGCACGAGCGGCAGGGGCACGTCGATCGCGCCGCCATACATGTGGCTCAGCAACAGGTCCACCGCGGCCGGCTCCGCCTCTTGCAGGGTCACTTCTGCCGTCCTGCTCTCCACAAATGCGTCGCCGCTGAGCATCCTGTCGAGCACTGGCGACGCCGCGGCGAGCACGACGCGGTGCGCGGGGAACTCGGAGGCGCCGCAGCGCAGCAGCGCGTCGGAGAAGCGCCCGTCTCGCCGGATGGGGGCGAGGGCGGGCGGCGCGTGCGGGGGCGCGGGGACATGCACGTGGGTGAAGGTGCTGGCGGGCTCGGCCGGGGCAGCGACGAAAATTGCCTGCGGAGCAAGGTTGCATGCATATGGATGTGTGTGCATGCGTGCGTGGGCTGATGTGCATGTCTGTGTCTGACCGGAGCGCGTTTTGGTGATAGCGCCGTGCCATTCGCAGCATAGCAGCTGCTCCCACCCTCGGGTGTTCAACGCGTCATTAATCAGGCAGAGTGCGCTGGCCTCCACGGGCAGCTTCGAGCCCAAAACAGATTCGCGCCCACAGACCTGCAGCTTCCGGCCTTCCACCAGCCGCGCCTGCCGCAGCGCCGCGGAGGCGGGCAGCTTCTGCATCGCATGGCGCCCCGCCCGCACAGGCTCGCCAAGCCACGCGGCGATCTCAGAGCGGTCGCCGCTGCGCGCGCCGGATAGGATCACTGAACAGTACAGCTGCGGGGGGCCGTCGTCTGGGCGCTCGTTGGCGGCGCCCGGGGCCGCAGCTTGGGCGCCAGGATGGTACCCTAGGTAGACGAAGGGTGGGTAGTTGTGGGCGCCATAGCCCGCACCCACGCCCGCAACAAAGCCCGGACCAAAGCCCGCGCCAAAGCCTGCGGGCTGGGGACCGGCGGCAGGGGCGGGCTGACCCGCGGCGCCGGATGGGCCTGCGCTGCCGCTGGTACGCAGCCGGGGCAGCGTGTTGATATGGAGGTCAATCGAGCCGCTGTGAGGGGACACATCCAAGTCGAGGGAGAATCGGTGTGACACGGCGCCGACCGGGGTGGTTGCGCCAGTTGCAGGACTGCGGTCGGCGAGCACGACGGGGATTGAAGCGCTGCAGACGCTGCCCATGTCTACCATATCGGCCTCCAGAGCGTCTAAGTATACCACCGATGCCACTGCGTGCGACATGGCTGGGATACGCCGCGAAACCTGCTCGGGGCGTCAAGCAGCCTGCGCAAGGACGGAACAAATCTGGGCTTCAAAGCGCATCAGCAACAGCACCTTGCTGACGATGAAGCTCTGAGATAAGATGCGGTATGATGTAATATGTTGTCTGTCTGCTGGTTGCCTGTGGCGCAAGCAACCGTCACCCTCTCTGGTCCTTGCCTATGCAGTTGGTGTACGGTAGTGTGCGCCGCACGCTAGAAAGCAACACGGCATCTCCATTCTCGCTTCCGCTTGCCCTTTCTTTCTGACGCCCACAGGCCTCATGAATCCAGAACTTGCGCTGCGCTCTACAGGGCAGGCGCCGCATTACACGACATTGACCTGCACCCGGTGCCAAGAATTGTTGACCACCCCCCGCGCATTCCACACGGGCCCCGCCGACTCCGGCTGCGTGTTGTAGTTCTCGTCCGTCGCCTTGACCACCACCTCCAGCTTCCCGCCGGCTTCCACGCCCTCCGGCAGCCGCTGAGTCAGCGAGTACAGCGTCTTTGCCCACGCACGGCCGGACGAGTTCGTGGGCGGCTTGGTCAGCTCTGCGGGCGCCCAGGTCTTGCCGCCGTCCAGAGACACGTCCACGCGCACAATGTCGCTGCCGCCGCCGCTCCATGCGTAACCCTTGACTGCAGGCGGTTGGATTGCAGGTCAAATGGAAGGTGATGGGTGTCAGGCGACGAGGTTATGGGAAGCGGAGCGCAAGCTGCCACGGCGCGCCTGCCGCTGGCCGCTGGCGGGCCACTGCTGGGGCAGCCAGCCACGAGAGCCACGCGCACCGGCACGACGCGGCGCTGCCGCAAGCAGCCATGAGTGCGCACTCAACGCGCGCCGTCCCCATAGCAGCTGCAACCCCGCCCCCTCCCCTTCTCCTCGCGTCACCCGCCCTGCCCAGGCCTGACCACGGATGACGCAGCGCGGCCTCACCCGTGATCTCGCCCTCCTCCAGGCTGACCTCCTCCCCCTTGGCTGGCAGGCAGATGGCCGACACGACATTCAACCCCTGGGGAGGGAACGGCAACAGTAGAGATTATATTGAAAACGCATCCAGTCGGTGCAGGGCTGCGTGGCGCTCTGCCTGCTGTAACTGGGGCTATTGCTGCCGGGGCCGAGGTGTTGCGAGGAAGGCCGAGCGCGCAGGCCGCCGCGCCAAAAGCCGGGCGCACATGGCAGGCCCAGCTGCCGGGGCGCAGTCAAGGGGGCCGCGGGCTACGCGGGGCGTGCAAGGGGTTCAAAGCGGCCCTTGTCTCTTTGGGCACCTGGATGGCTGGGGCGCTCTTCCAGTCCAGGTTGTCCCAGTCAGTGCCGGGTGAGAAGGCCTTGTAGTCGTTCTGCTGCCAGAAGCCCTGGGACTCCTCGTTGCTTGCCACCACGCGGCCTGCGCATGTGTGCGTGTTTTGTGCGCGTGGGGTATGTGTACATGTCAATGTGGCCTTTGTGTGTTTTGTGTGGTTGTCCATCTCATGCGAGATATATCGTGTGAGTAATTGTGTGTGCGTGCGTGTGTGTGTGTGCGTGCGTGTGTGTGTGTGCGTGCGTGCGTGCGTGTGTGTGTGTGTGTGTGTGCACGCTCATATGCGCGCGTCTGCGCGGGTGCATGTGCGTTTGCGCATGTGCCGTGCGGCACATATGTGCACATGCACCCGTACATCGCGTGAGCAGCAACCTCACCAGCAGCCACCCGGCCGCCCGACCTCGAGCGTGCAGATCATCAGCCCCCAATCCGACCCGCATACTGTATCCTGCCTATCCCCTCCCCTCTACGGCCCCCAACCC